GCTTCATTTTAGCAAAGACCCACATAGCTAAAGTAAGGCTGTCTCTGACGTAAGTGGTGCTACATCACTGCAGTGTTGTGTGACATGAATGCAGCTGCTACTCCTTTCAAGGTACCTGTTGTGCAGTCTAGAAGAATTTCCCTGCCTTTTATTTGGGTTGTCTTATGTCTTAGTTGTATACACATGAGTCTCTTTTGTCTGGAATAAGTAACCAAATAAACTTGCTTTGATAAATAGGCAATGATGAGTGACATTATTTGGGAGTAACTCAGAAGTACTAGAGCTTGTTTTTTTTTTTTTTTTCTTAAATGATGTGTCTTGCTTTGTGGTTCAAGCTGGCCCTGAACTCATGCCAATCCTCCTGCCTCAGTTTCCCAAGTGCTGGGATTACAGCTGTGCATATTACATCCAGTTTCAATTATTTTTAGTCTGATAACAATTTTGGTCATTTACCACCTAGATTCTTTTTGGCAGATAGTAGTATCAACTACCTGTATAACATGAAAGCAAAGCTCAGATTATTTGCCTCACACGGAAGCACTTACTAAAGTTTATCAGCAAGTAGTAACACAACTACATACAATCGTAAGTTTTAAAAAGTCCCAACATTCTGCTTTTTTAGTTGATCTGACCCCATTTTCATGAAAGGGGCACTGGCGCCATCTCTGCTAAGGACTGGCAAAATCTCCCACCCTATGGTTCAGCATCAGTCAACTGGAATCCTCTGTACTAATGGCTAAACACAGTGTGTCTGACCATCAAGCCTTGGGTACTGTCCACACAAGCATGGGTTACGAGTCTTACTTCCTCTTAGAGTAGACAGTGCTATCGTTTCTTTAGTCAGTCCACATACTAGTGCTGAATTCACAAATAATAGCTTGTCCCACATCAAAATTAGGGGGCCACCCATGTCACCAATGGGAACACCCATGATGTTAAGCTAATAGCCAGTACTCTTGGATAGATCACAAAGGCTTCTTTCATCACTCATGAAATACAGACTTCCTGATCAGACTGCTAGCTAAAGATCTCTGGAGTGGAATCTCTAACAGCTACTACACTG